TGTCAAAGAACTGCTCCCTGATAAAAAGAACGAAGCTATGCAAAAACCATCAAGAGCCAGGAAGGTGTGTGTGTATTTTTGTCCTCTGCGGAAGCACAAGTGTTCTTTAACTTACTGGACATATAAGCTAAATCATCCATCACATTGTTCCTTTATGAAATAGAAACTGTTGAGATATTTGTTTGATCATTCAAACAATGTGTTTTATTTTCCAGAGAAGTAATGACAGGAACCGGATGTCTAAGCGCTTGACTGAGGAAGCTGAGAGATATATTGAGGATTTTATTTCAAATGTCGAAGATACTGATATTTCATCACTTGATGGAGAAAGAAGTGACACTAGCTCATCCATTGGAGGACTAATAAAACCAGAATCATTTAATAGCCCATCAATACCAAGATCTCTTCCAGTTGAAATGGATGGGGTCATGTTTCCATGGTTGCAGTGGGAGACTAGTAATGATGCTTCCCCTACAACAAACCTCAACAAGACACGGACGCCAGTAACTCCAAAAATTGCCAGTTTCATTCAGGTTATCGCCGAACTGCCACTTGTCCTCTTTTTTCTAGAAAAGGATTTTGCTGATTAAATTCTTTAGCATACGCATGATAACTTAATCATATGAATGCCTTTTTGTGTTGACTTTTTTTAATGCAGTTATCAAGTACACTTTCATTGATTGCCCAAGAAACGTAAGTCAGGGATACAATCATATCATCATATGCATGCATCTTAATATGTTAACATAGTGACAAGGTGGCCAGCACACCCATATCTGGACATTCACCTGTGACCATTCATGTGATTAAATTTACGCTTGTTTGCATAAGAACAATATCTGAATAATGGCGTGCATGTGCAATACCTTCCACACCCTTTTTGGACAAATGACACAGATTCTTAGTATTCTGTAACAGTGAATTTAACCATTCAAGGTATCGAAGACAACAATGTGCCAACGATTCTTGTCCTTTTTTCTTTCGGGCGATACTTATGGGTTCTGTGTGTTGAATTTGATGTCCTAGGAAATCAAGAAAGTACGAGATCAAAGCAATCATTCTGTCAGCAGCCATGGAAGCTGGAGCCCTGATGGTATTGTAGAGTATTCAAGCAGTAAGTTTGGCGAATCCTATGAAAGCCAGACGTTGTCTACTGCATCATCTAAAGGAATGAATTATGATATGGATGAGTACCTTGAACTCAAAAAAAGCGAAGATCTTCTGATTGAGAGATGGAGGCAACGGCAAAGAATTGATTCAGGCAGTCTCCTGTTATGTAACCTAAGATTATTTTAGCCGTCTGTTCCTGAATTTATATGTACAGATCGTCTTATTATGCATAGTATTAGTAAGTTATCATGTTGATAGGCATTATTTGCTCACCAGTTAGTACGAAATCTTCTATTATATACTTTTTCGGTCTTTAGCATAAGAACTAATTTAACATTCAATTGGTCTTAAATATAAAACTTAAATCTATTTTGTTTCCAATATTTATTTATTTTGTCTTCAAATAGTTCCTATAGTAGGTGTATGTATTAAAGAATTATTATCAATAGGTAATTCAAAGACACATGATTAATAAGGATATTTTAGGGAAGATAATATCTATTTATTATAAATAACTTATTTAAGTAACTTTCTTTATCTCCCAAAATTAGTCAATAATATCTTATAGGCTAAAGTATACAATTGGTCCTTTAATCTTGGATAAAGTTTTAATTTCGTCCTTTAACTTTAAAAAGCATATATTAGGATTTGATGATGATTTTTTATAACAATCATGGATATTTTGAAAATTAAACTTAATATGTTAGTATTTAAGAATATTTCATCAACATTTAAGATCGTAATGTCATCATTTTTTTTAAAAAAATTTAGAATTAAAGCACTAAAAATATACTTTTTAAAGTTAAAAGATCAAATTAAAACTTTATACAAAGTTAAAAAACCATAAGTATACTTTAATTTATCTTATATTAAGGATCAGAAATAATATTTATTAGTCTATAAATTCAAGAATAAACCATATCATTCTAACTCGGTTTTCTAATCCTTGACCCTTCAATGCACGGAAATATGAACACTTTGTATGGGAGGATAGGATTCTCTCATTTTCTCTTTTTATATCCTTTCCTTTTTCTTAATCGTTAGATCAATCTTTAAATAATTTAGGTTTAATTATATATAAATTATCAAATTCAAATTATGAAGGTTGGATTTGAATTGAAAAGTTTAAAAGTGTAGTAAATAAAAAAAATTTAAATAATTTATAAGAAGTTGAATTTAAACGGATTTACACTAGGTGCTCATCAATTTTAGACCATTCACCATCCAGATCTAATTTGAACGGTTTCAGATTTATTTTTATTTTTTAAAAAAATATTATTTTAATAAATATAGAATAAAAATAAAAATAATCTCTTAACTATCATTCTTTAAAAATATAATTTTTTTATTTTAAAATAATTATTTAATAATATTAAATCTGGACTGTTCATATTAAATCTGAACGGTCCAGATTGCTCATCAGGTGATGAGCATTCGGTGCTCATCACCTGATGAGCACCGAATGGGGATCCAATTTAAACTACTTAAACGATAATTTTATGGTTATAAAAAAAAGAAGCAAAAACATTAGAAGGGATCAAGGGAAGAGGAAGAAATTTTCTCTCACCTTTCGGTGCATCAAGAAAAATCTAGTTCTTGCATTAAAAAAATTAACTATTTGAAAGATGCTAATAATGATATAAGTATTATTTATATTAATGTTTGGGAAAAAGACAGGCAAATGCTAACTGAATTTCAGAATGACCATAACGTCCGTCCAATTTGTAAAATGCCATTTTGGTCTCAAGAGACCAAATTGGCATTATTATATCAAATGAAAAGACCAAATTGTCTTTCCTTTTAAATATTATTTTTAAAGTATCACAGCTCCTACTGGCCAGCCAGTCACCGGAGCTTTGGCGGCGGTAGTCACCGGACCTCCAGTGACCGGCCGACAATTGGTCACCGAAGCTCCGTCAGTCAAAAATTTTTTTTTTGAAAATTTTTACAACTTCAGTATAACGGTTAACAACTTTTGTAATGCTATTAACAACTTCAGTATAGCAATTAACAACAGGTTTTTTGGACAATTCAACAAGCTCTGGTGACCTGAAATAATTTTTTTGAAAATTTTTATAACTTCAATATAACCGTTAACAACTTTTATAATGCTATTAACAACTTCAGTATAGCAATTAACAACAGGTTTTCTGGAAAATTTAACAAGCTCCGGTGACCGGAAACAACTGTTTTGAAAATTTTTACAACTTCAGTATAACGGTTAACAACTTTTGTAATACTATTAACAACTTCAATATATCAATTAATAACAAGTTTTTTGGAAAATTCAACAAGCTCTGGTGACCTGAAATAATTTTTTTGAAAATTTTTATAACTTCAATATAACCGTTAACAACTTTTATAATGCTATTAACAACTTCAGTATAGCAATTAACAATAGGTTTTCTGGAAAATTTAACAAGCTCCGGTGACCGGAAACAACTGTTTTGAAAATTTTTACAACTTCAGTATAAGGGTTAACAACTTTTATAACTCTATTAACAACTTCAGTATAGCGGTTAACAACAGGTTTTTGAGTTTGTTAATGACATTACTGAAGTTATAAAAATGCCACTTTTTGAATTTTTCGAAAAACTTGTTGTTAATTGCTATATCGAAGTTGTTAACCGTTATACTGAAATTGTAAAAATTTTCAAAAAAATGTAATTGTTAACGTTATACTAAAGTTGCAAAATTTTACAATTTCAGTATAACGATTAACAACTTTTATAATGCTATTAACAACTTCAATATAGCAATTAACAACATGTTTTCTGGAAAATTCAACAAGCTCCGATGACCGGAAACAATTTTTTTTGAAAATTTTTACAACTTCAGTATAACGGTTAACAACTTTTGTAACTCTATTAACAACTTCAGTATAACGGTTAATAACAGGTTTTTGAGTTTGTTAAAGGCATTACTGAAGTTATAAAAATGTCACTTTTTGAATTTTTTAAAAAACCTGTTGTTAACTGCTATACTGAAGTTGTTAATAGAGTTACAAAAGTTGTTAACCGTTATACTGAAGTTGAAAAAATTTTCAAAAAAATTGTTTCCGATCACCGGAGCTTGTTGAATTTTCCAGAAAATATGTTGTTAATTGTTATACTAAAGTTATTAATAACATTATAAAAGTTGTTAACTGTTATATTGAAGTTGTAAAAATTTTCAAAAAAATTGTTTCCGGTCACCGGAGCTTGTTAAATTTTCCAAAAAACCTGTTGTTAATTGCTATACTGAAATTGTTAACCGTTATACTGAAGTTGTAAAATTTTTCAAAAAAAATTTTTCCTATTGACGGAGCTTCGGCGACCGCCGCCGTCGAGCTCCGGCGACCGGCCAGCCAATAGGAACTGTGATACTTTAAAAACAATATTTAAAAGGAAGGGCAATTTGGTCTTTTCATTTGATATAATAATGTTAATTTGGTTTCTTGAGACCAAAATGGCATTTTGCAAATTGAACAGACGTTCTGGTCATTCTAAAATTCAGTTAGCATTTTTCTGTCTTTTTCCGTTAATGTTGTATGGCACAAAAAATAGATAATTAGATGCTTCTTGGTCTTAGATATAATAAAAACACAATAAACATTAATTACAAAAAAAAATACCTCCAATTGACGTTAAGGAAATTGACATGTCAGGGGATCGAATAAGTTTAATTATTTGTCATGGAAAGATTGAATTATCATGGGGCCAAATGTAGAAATTTGGGCCTTGTTTGGAGCTCCATTGAAAACGGGTTTTTAAACAAATTCACGTAAGTCGAGACAAAACTCTCCTCACATACTTATCTCGTATTCCGTAAATCACATTTGAAAAGCTACTTATAACTCAATCCAAACAAGCAGGAATTCGAAGAATAAACTTTATCCGGTAAGAGAAGCATTCAGGAGGGACTCCTTACTCCCATGCTTCACTCTCCTCTGCTTGCTTGTGGGTGGCACATCCCACCTGCAGCGATGCAAACTCTCCAAACCTCTTATCTCTTCTGTGTCCCTAAAACCCTAAACCCTTCCTCTCACCATTTCGGTTCTCAACGTCGTTCTCTGCTCGTCGGAAACCAACCATTTTCCATCAACTTTGTTGCCAAGGCTTTTAGCTCCGATGAATTCCCCGTTGACGAGACCTTCCTGGAGAACTTTGGTCCCAAAGACAAAGAAACTGAAGATGAAGCTCGAAGGCGCAATTGGATCGAGCGCGGCTGGGCTCCATGGGAGGAGGTACTCACTCCGGAAGCGGACTTTGCGCGCAAGAGCTTGAATGAAGGCGAAGAGGTTCCTCTTCAATCTCCCGAAGCTATCGAGGCATTCAAAATGCTGAGCCCCAATTATAGGAAGAAGAAGATGGAAGAGATGGGGTTGACTGAAGACGACTATTATCGTAGGCAATTTGAGATAAAGGGAGAGATACCGCCACCTCTGGAGACGTATTGGGCTGGTCCAATGGTCATGCGACTCGTGCCGCCGAGGGATTGGCCCCCTAGAGGTTGGCAGGTAGATAGGAAGGAATTGGCGTTTATACGCGAGGCACATAAGCTGCAGGCAGAGAGAATCACTCTGGAGGAGTTGGAAGCCGGGGTTAGCACGGAAACAGATGAGTTGTGCTTGGACAGGTACAAGATGTTTGTCAAGCAATACACCGAGTGGGTGGAAGCAAACAGGGACAAATTGGAGGAGGAATCTTACAAGGTTTCAGCCGAATGCCCGCATTTGTCTTTTTTTTTTCTTGCTGATTCGGATTACTAATATGTCCATGTCTTGTCAATCTCACAGTATGATCAAGATTACCATCCTGGTAGGAGGAAAAGGGGCAAGGACTACAAGGAGGGCATGGTTAGATAAGTTGCATTTGGCCTTTTATTTATTATTCTTGGTCTCATGAATTCAATGTTGCAGTGCCCTCGTTTAATGTGTTTTCGTTGTTTTATGCAGTATGAGCTTCCCTTCTATTATCCTGGCCAAGTAAGTTACTGATTTCATGTTATTCTTATGGAGCTGTTGTTGCCTATAAACTGCACTTTTTGTTCACATTGCAAGAATGCCTCCATTTGTTCGCATTAAGCGTGGTTGCTCACCTACACTGCTGCTTGCTTTTTGGCATGCCACTTGAAGGAACTAATTTTCAAAACCAACCCCCCCGGAGCGCCCCCCGGGTTTTTTTTTTTAATGTAACTTTTCAGAGATAATAACTCGTTAAAAAATATGTTGTGCAGATTTGTGAAGGGAAGGTGACAACATTGCACCTCTATCAAGGGGCATTTGTTGACATTGGTGGGGTATATGATGGGTAAATGTCCATTTCCCAAATTTATTCTTTTTGTGTTCCTGATATTCATTCTTTATTAGGTGTTGCTTTCCTTGGCTGGTATTGTTTGATGAAGGATTATTGATAAAGTAATAATGAGTTGCTTCCCTTATTTCGATTGGTAGGAAAAAAATCTTTATAAGTATCTTCGTAACTGAAACAGTTATGCACTGTACGTGGCCCCTTTTAGAGGAAGACAGTCTCATTAGTTTATTTGTACAAAAAAAGACAACTGTCTTGTCTCCTCTGTTTCACTTGGATGAATAGATCAGTGATAACATAGTACCACTACTTACTGAAGTAAAAAAAAAAAAAAAAATTGTTTTGCTCTATAAATGAAACTATTTATTATTATATTTGATTCCTGTAGCTGTCTTAGTTATAAATTTATTATGCCGTCAATATTAATTAGGACGCATAACTTGGAGGCTTTAGCTTCTGTGATTTGGTTTAGCTTATTTAATAGCTACTGCCTTTGTTCTTCTAATTTATCTTCAAGTGTTCTCCCTCATGATTATAATGCCTTCATGCTTCATGTGTTCTAGGTGGGTTCCTATAAAGAATAATGATTGGTATTGGATCCGCCATCATATAAAAGTGGGGATGCATGTCATGGTTGAAGTTACGGTGAGTGTTTTGCACATTTTTCCTTCTCGTCACACAATATTGTCTTGATATCAGTTATGAGATTCTAATGAGTATTCATGGATATTGATACTGGTGATCAAACATTTGGCCTTTATAGCCTCTCAGTGGAGTGAATTAGAAAATTTTTAGCTGAACGTGGAGGAGAATACAAGATCCCTCATAGAGCTCTGCTGCATCATCAGCATATATATTAAGAAAATTATATGGCTGCAATTGTTACCGTAATGTTTGTATATGGGGTTTTGTGCCCTTTTCTTCCTTTTAATTTGTCTGCCTCCTTTATCATTTCAATAAAAACTTTGAAACCCCCTCGCAATTGTAAAGGAGTGATTCTCGTTCATGATTAAATTAAACCATGTGCCTGGTGGTATAATCCACATTTTGTTTTGCAGCCGTATCTTCATTTTATGCTGCTCTGTTCGTATCTTAACTTGAAACCTGAAATGTATATGGTTATATGACTACTAAGTGACCAAATCTGAATGGTCACTCATGGAATTTTGTCATTGTATTGTAGATTGCAAAATCCAGCCAACGTCTGTATTCTGTTCCTAACCTTTCAGTTCGTCATGAAATTTGCATATTTTATTTTATTTATGAATTTTTCTCCCTTTTTACATTTCAGGCAAAGCGCGACCCGTACCGCTTCCGATTCCCTATTGAACTTCGGTTTGTCCATCCAAATATAGATCATCTGATGTATGAACTTTTTGTGTTTCTGATGTTACACTTTAACTTTCTTTTATAGCTAGGCCAATCTTCATTTTCTTGTTGCATTCGTATTAACATCTGTTTCATATTTCAGCTTTAACAGATTTGACTTCCCGCCAATATTTCACCGTGATGATGATGACAACCCAGACGAAATACGGGTTTGTGCATTCGCTCTTGATACTTCAAATCATCCCATCCTTGATGTGAACCCACACACAGACACTCTTCTTTTATAAGGCTCTTTATATTGGAATTGACCGTGGCCTCATTGGATGAGTATTGGGTCAAGTGTAACTGTTAGAATTGATCTGTAGAAAGGTTTATTTCATTAATATACTCTTCGATCTTCGCAAGGTTAGACCCATGTAGATGATGGTTCCCATGATGCTGCGACAAATGCTTTTAAGCAGTGTCTATAATCAGATACTGATGCTTTTAGATCATCATATCAAATCTCTGAACTGTTGTTCACTTTCTTATACAAAACTTTTATTCTCTATTCTCTATTCTTTATTCTTCCTAAATATTGACTCAATAGGTTATGACCAGGTTCATAATGTTTACAATATTTATTTTATGAGAATGTTTACTAGAGCTCTGTTTTCTTTTATTATTACATGTTGTTTATTTCAAGTTAAACTAAAAAATAGTCAAATATAGCATTTTTTGAAGTCAGAGTTATCAACATGGTTGTTGATTCATTCTTTACATAGAAGATTTTTCAAAATTTGCAGCGTGATTCTGGACGACCACCCATTCCTAGAAAAGATCCAGGAGACAAACCAGAGGAAGAACCTCTCCTGTCAAACCACCCATATGTTGATAAGGTGAATTCTGGTCACATTTATTCTTTTTAACATTGTTGCAAGATACAATTTTGGTGGATTAATTAGTTTATGCATGGGATGTTCCTCGGTTTAACTTTTAAATTCCTTTTGTTTAAAAATGTGTCGGTCAATGTTCACCTAATATATTATAGGACTATGTAGGTGATATCAACATTCTCATTCAAAGTCTATTAGACTTCGCGTGTGTATTACTCTACAATCTGCATTGACATCCCACGTGTGCTTAAAAGTATGGTTAGTTCATTATTGTCAAAACTGTAAGGGTTTTTATATTTTAAAAGCAGCCGGAGGTCCGTCTTTCTGGATAGAAGTTTTTAATCTAAGATGCTATTACCCTGTGGAATTCATCATAAGCATATACTACCTTTAGTCCTAAATATAAGAGCTAGTTTGCACTTTAGAACCGAAGGTAATACATTTGTGTACTTGATCAGCCACCTATTTTCATCTTAATTTTGTATAAGTATTGGCTTAGGCTTCTAGATATCTAATGAGGGTGTATTTTCAGCCATAATGTCTTATTGCTCTGTTAATCTGTTTTCCGGGAGTTTTCACTTGGATTTTTTTAAAAAAAAATAAATTTCACTCTTGTACAATTTGAGGAAAAAAAATTCATTACAGATGAAATAGTGTTTTACGCAGCATTATTCTCCATGGCTAATCAAGTTGCCTTGTATTTTTCACTTTGTTTTAACTTATGGTTCAGGAACATGTTACCTAAATCTGTTATCACAAACATTCAGTATTTAGCATCCATTCAATGTTGCATGCATGATCGTTAGCTGCACCTTCATTTTTTTTTTTTTCCAGTTGTGGCAAATCAATGTTGCCGAGCAAACAATTTTGGATGACATGGAGATTAATCCTGGAAAATACGAAGGCAAAAAGCTGTCGGACTTGACTGATAGCGAGGACTTTGATGAAGAAAACTCTGTAGAGTATACACAAGCTTATTATAAGAAAACATTACTACCAAAAGTGATTCTGGTGAGTACCATTACTTTTACATTGCATTCATCTGCTTGTTGTTTTGTTCACATGCTGTTTGAATATTTCGCAGAAAACAAGTGTCAAAGAGCTTGACCTGGAGGCAGCACTTGCTGAGCGCGAGGTCAGCTTTTTTTTTTTTTTGGTCTCTTCTTTAATTCAATATTAACTGATGATTAGATGATCCACCTTGTACCGTTGTCTTTGGGAGAATAATTAAAGAATGAGTATAAATGTTCTTTGTCTTGGACGAGGCACGATAAAATGGCACCCTCCGCCATAATATCAACATCCAGATTCTTTTTCATTCATCAACATCCTGAACGTTGATATTTCCTTAATTCAATTTTACGTTGTGAACAGTGGAGATTTTTTAATGAATTGATATTTTCCAATTTGAACGAGTCTTTGACTATTCAAGTTGCATGTTAAGTATTCCGTGTTGGGATGCAGTACCATAATAAACTGAGGAAGGAAGCAATGGAGAGAGGAGAAAAATACAAAGTAGCAAAACTGAGGCGCAACATTGAGATGGATGAGTATGACTTAATGCACTGGCGGAGATCATTGGAAGAGAGAGAAGCGTTACTTAGAGACATCAGCTGGTGCGGTTATTTTAACATTGTCAGTTTAAATTATTTTAACAAGTCACCGCATAATATTTTCTCTTGTTTCCACTTTGTACAGTCGTAAGTCTCTTGGTCTGCCATTGGAAGAGCCTGGAAGATATGTAGATGCTAGCTTTTTTGGCAAAGACCAATATGATCCTTCAAGCCCGCTTTATCGATATGATTATTGGGGAGAACCCAAGAACTCGGAGAAGAGCAAGCAAGAGAGGATGGCAGACGCCCATAACAAATCAATAGTGGGAAAGGGTACTTTGTGGTACGAAATGTCATATGATGATTGCATCAAGCAACAGATGAAAAGGGAAGCCCAGTCCCAAGAACCACAGGAGAAAGCTGACGATGAAGATGAAACACAGCACAGTGATGAAGATGAAGATGACGACGATGACCTTGACTTCAGCGTTCTAAGCAGTCTTGGTATTAATGTATCAGATCAGCTCCATGTTAATGGAACTGAATCTTCTAGAATGTCTGATGCGGGTATTTTTGAGGACTAATGCTCTATACTTTTCTGAGCCGAAGTCAATTTTGCTTCTTGTATAGTTGCGCGCGGCTTCTCTCCAATACCATTACCGTCCGCTGCCTATCCTTTTCCTGCAACGGCCGCGTTTTTTTTTTTTTTTTTTTTAATTTTTGGGGTAAAACGAGGACAATCCGTGCTCTCAGAATTATTTGGTCCTAACGGTTGCCGTGAATGCTATCGAGCTGCTAGAAGGTAACGTGGTCGACACGCATGAAGTGAACGACCTTAATACAGAGGTGAACCGTGAAGGCTCTAACCGACAGGGACCCGGAAACTAAAGTAGGCCATGTCAAGCGGAGAATGAACAAGGCTGCAGACTACCTGGCTAAGATAGCTCTTAGCGCTTTGCACGGATTGCATTTAGTCGGACAGCCTACCCGTGATGGGAGCAGTATTATCTTCTAGAATTGTAGTGGTAGGAGTGCTTTAGGCCGGCCCGTCCCAGTCGGCTCATTCTGGTCCCGGTTTTATTGGGACGGGACAGGACGGGACACGTGACGGGGTCATCCTGTCCCAGTCCCGTCTCAGTTCCCTTTTTTTTTTAATTTTTTATCCTATTTATATAATATTATTTTTTTTATATTTTTTAATGATTTGAGACTATTATATGGAATTATAGATATATTTATTTAGAACTTTTATATTTGTTGATGACTTGATATCATTGATGATTAGAATTTTTAGTAAGTTTTTATTGTGTTAAAAGTTTTTGTTTAGAGTTTTTAATGATTATTATATGTAATATTTTGGGCTTTTGTTGGAGATTGTCCAAACAAATAAAAAAGAAAATAAAAAGAATATTTTTATAAGGCCTAAGCCCAAAAAATTATAATTAAAAAAATCAGATTTTATTAAAAAATAAAAATATATATATCGGGACGTCTCGGTCCTATTCCAGATCCGTCCCGTCCCGATTGAGACTGGGACACGGGACAGATTTTATGTCCCATTACTGTTCATCAGGACGAAACCAAGACGGGCCTGTCCCAGTCCCGATCTGTCCCGTGAACAGCCCTAGTAGGGGGAGCAACCACAACTCCCTACTTTGTAGTTAAGGGCTTTTGTTTGTTATTCGAAAAAAGAATTATTTGGTCTCGTGCTCTTACAATTATTTGGTTCATGGAATAGGAAAAAAAATGAAATGGAAAACTTGGTTTTTAATTGAAAAAAGTCTTTTATGTTTTAAATAAAAATAGTAAATGATATATAGTTGTTGTTGATATTAACACCCTCAAAAAGATATTTGAATAACACAAATTCTTATTTAAGTCATTGAATTTGTCAAAGTCCTAATTAAGTATCAATGAAAGGGACATTAAAATTCCTCTTTGGTTGTGTGATTTGATTAGGATTTTGACAAATTTAGTGACTCAAATAAAAATTTAAGTTATTTAAGTTTTTTTTTTAAGAGATTCTTCTTATTAAGATGTTTATTAATTACTCTTTAAGTTTTTAATGTAAGAGCTCTTTAATAAATTTAAAGAGTTAATTATTAAAAATATGACTTAATTTTTTATAAAATACATGTGCAATATTAGACTATTGATAAAAAAATAGTACTACCTTAAATTCCGACAACTAATTAGTGGGTATTAAAAAATTTAGTTAATTATTTATAATAAATAAATATTATCTTTTTTAAAATACCATTGTCAATATAAAATACCTTTGTTGACTTTGATTACGTTGGCAAGACAGGAAAGGCATGAGATCTTCCATGGGATCATCATATTATAGCCAAACCTCACTAAATAGCCTCAAGAAATATAGGCCATGGGATCACACCATTTCTACTACACTCAAAAAAATGAAAAGAGGATAGAAAAGAGAAATAGGGAGGGGAAAGAGAAGAGGAGTTAGAAGGGAAGTTTGAGGAAGAAATTCATACCCAATCACCCTTAATCCTTAATATGATTAGTTTTTCTTTAATCCAAATTGTTGTGGGCTGGTTGTTAAAATATCTAAAATCTACTACGATTTCCTCCTAAACTCTCTTAGCTTCCTTGAAATCCTTCAAAATTGTAAACCCTAAGTTCGTCCCTCCCCTCTACATCTCTGCCTAATTTATAGAACATGTAATAACTCCGGACAAGTTCTCCAATCCTACAACTATTAGTAGCTACTGCAATCTGGGCCTGTGGGCCGAAAACCCTAGTTTCTTCTCAGATTTACTATTAATTGTTAGTCATGTGTTAAATGCCTATATTATGTTATTCCTTGTCTGATTTGATTTTCTAGATTATAGCACTTTATATCTATTTATTGCAAGATGTATAAAGCATTCCTTTTTTTGTTTCAATAAAAGGGAATTTTCATTGCATACGCAAAGTATCTATGGCAAGATGAATAAAGCATGCTTTTTAGCATCAAACAATACTCAATTTTTTTTGGCTAAAATATAAGTATTTTCTTATTGGAAGTAGACATTGTCAGGCACTAAATGTGGGCATATCTCCTAACAGGGATTTAAATCTTGGTTTGTCATATTGTCAGAAACTAGTCTTTTTCACTAGACCTAATTCCCGTTGGTTAATAATACTCGATTCAATCTATATAAGACGAAAAGTAATGTGAAATTGTGTGATTGAATCATGTGTCAGCCCTTGCCCCTACCTTAGGCCCTGTCCATACCCTTTCACCGGGCCCTGGCAGACATTGTCAGGCACTAAATGTGGGCATATCTCCTAACAGGGATTTAAATCTTGGTTTGTCATATTGTCAGAAACTAGTCTTTTTCATTAGACCTAATTCCCGTTGGTTAACAATACTCGATTCAATCTATATAAGACGAAAAGTAATGTGAAATTGTGTGATTGAATCATGTGTCAGCCCTTGCCCCTACCTTAGGCCCTGTCCATACCCCTTCGCCGGGCCCTGGCCCTTTCCTTGTCCCTGGCCATGTCATCAGTGATCTTTTTAAATTCCCTCTCGAGAAACTGACGTGCTTCATTCTCATCTTCACCTTCACCTTCCTCCATTTCTTCCTCCTTAGTGTATTCTTCTATGATATTGCCCTTCCACATCTCTGTCCACCCATCTGATCCTAGATGGATAAGTAAGTTAGCTAAATACTGATAACTATGCCGCCTATTGCTAGATCTTTAAGTGATCTTTGAGTGCTGCCTGATGAATTAATTCTTTGCCTAATTCCATAGCATCTTCAATTGGCATGTCCTTCTTGTACCTGTTAATATTGATAAATTAATCAAAGCTACAAATGATAGAAAAAGTTTAACGAACCTGGAATCCAATACACTGCGAGCGTGTGATGATTTGGATCCAATGTAATTGGTTAAGAAGAAAATTGCTGTGGTAAGAAGAAGGTTTTAATTTGAAAAGAAATATATGTTGTTGGTTAAGTTTGAAGTAAACACATTTAGGTGTGAGCAGAACTAAACCATAATCGAATTAAACTGAATTCAATTTTGGTTTTTCTGTTCAATTATTTTGGTTTTCAGTTAGATATTCAGATTTCATTTTTTAACAATTCGGTATTCGGTTCAGTTATTATGAAAAAAAAATCTATTAAAACCAAAAAAATAAAATAAATATATAATATATTTATATTTAATAAATATTATTATAATAAATATATATGTGGGTGTACTTGAGCTCTTTAAATATATTTGTATTTAATAAATATGATTATAATAAATATTACTCTTCTGGTCCTTAATATAAGACCCATTTAACTAATTTGATTAGATTAAGAAAGTTAGGTAAGTTAGTTAACTATAAGAAAAGTGACATATATATATATATAACTGCTAAAGCGTAGATATCCTCCTATTGGAGGCAATCCTATTCGAGGCTCTGTCGGGCACTAAATATGAGCATCTCTCCCAACGGGGATTCGAACATTGGTTCATCACGTTATGAGAGATTAGCCCATTCTGCTAAACTCAACCTTCATTGGTCACATTTATATATTTTGATTAATCAATTAACCGAACCAAAATATTTTGGTTAATTTGATTAATCAATTTTGATTCGGTATTTAAAATTAACCCTATTCAGTTATTCGATTAATTTGGTTATTATTAAAAATCAAATAAAAAAACTGAATGCTCATATCTAAACACATTGACCTTTAGTTACAATATGTTATTTTCAACATTTTTACGTATTGTTTGATCCCGTCCTCCCAACGAAAAGAAGGGCAGTATATTTCATGTTCCTCAATGGAAGGGAAGAGATGGGACTCATAAGAGGCGGCGATTTAAATTTTAGCTTTCTTAAATGACATGTGGTTCTTAAACTGAGCATTTGTGAATGCTGTCCGCGTAAACCTTCTCCAATTCTAGATATATCTTTCCAAGCAAATATCACTTTCAAGCATAAATCATGTTAGAGTTTCAAATGCACCAGATTCAAAGACATAAATTGACTAATTGAGCATTAAGCATATATTATCTAGTTTTTAATATAAAAGCTGGATAGTTAGTTTGACAAAATTAAGAAAATTAGTTAAGTTAATTAATTGTAGCAAACATATATTAACTTTTCTAAATTACTTTCTTTAATTATGTGTATTAGAATTATCTCTTAGTGGGAATCTCTTACAATTAACAGAGATTAGAGAAAACATAAATATAAGAGATAAAGTAAATTAAATTGAAATATTATATTTAGGGTTAAATTTAATATTCAATTAACTCTTATATTAAAGACTAGAAGTAGTATTTACCAAGCTTTCCATCAAATGCCCTTATTTCTTAGTATCTATATGAATTAGAGGGATGAAGTTCTTCTTTTGGACTCTGGATCAGCTCCAGCATTAATATGATATGACCCCGACCGATTAAAGACTAAAACTACATGCGTGACTGGGTGATTTTTTTTTTTTTTTTAATATAACCTTGGATGGTATAAACAACTAAGTAGTGAACCTTGCTAAATAAGAAATTTGTGAAAATATATTTGACATTCTCAATGAAATTAATAAATGTACTTATCTTTTAATAAATCCTAATCTCTCATATATTATTAACCTAACGTATCAGCCTCTTTCAACCTTTATCTGATTTTTATGAATTTTGTATGGTTTAGAGTAGCTTTTTTTTTTGGCCAAAAAAAAAGGCTATCTTTTATGCCTGCAAAGAGAAATGCTTGCAACAAAAGTTATTAAAATAAATAAATAAATGAATACACCATCTGTTTGATTAACTATGGAATATCCAACGATTTATTATATAAAAAAACCTGTATTCTCATGGTAGGTCATGGACATGGGGCATAGTTGAAAGCATTTGTGAATTCTTGAAATCTGCAAAGGGTTGGGTAAAATTGATGTTTATAAAATGTAAAAACGATATTTAATTTAATTATTAAAATTATTTTTCTAACCCATATGAAATCAGATTTATCAAAGTTATAAAAATTGTGTTAACAGAAATTTCAAAAAGATTTAAATAAAAGTCGAATGAGACTAATAAGTTAGATGAATAATATATGAGAGATTATGATTTATTGAAAGATATCTATTAATTTCATTGAGAATGTGTTAATTATGTTCTCATAATCTCATGTTTAATAAGGACTTAAGAAAAAGCTTAATACTACCTCTGGTCCTTAATATAAAACCTTGCTTGATTTTTATTTTGGTCCTAAATATAAGACCCCAATCCATTTTGTCTATCATATTTATACATTTTTTTCCAAAGTAGTCCTTCTAATAATAAAAGTTCTAGTCAATACACTTGATTAGCAAGGATATTTTAGAAAAAATAATATCTATTTAGAACAAATAACTAACTCAACTTATTTTTTTAATCTCCTCAAATTAGTCAACTGGCTCTTATAATTAGGACCAGGGGTAATATGATGAAGCAACAAAACCCTGACTTCTTATCATTGTTATTATTTTTTGTGGGAAATACCCCGACTCATTTGGAAAGGCTTAAAAAATCTCCTATAAACACGTTTCATAAAAACCGAGACAAAACTCCTCTTATATACTTGCTTTGTATTCTGTAAATTATTATTAAAAAGCTATTTATAAGTTGTTCCAAACGGGTCTTTAGACTTAAAATGAGGGCCATTAACATAACCCCCAAAAAAAAAAAGGAAAGAGGATCAATAATCTGCTTCATCCTAGCAAATTTGAAAGGATAACCATTAAATTATATCCTAAATAATGACGAGTATATCATTATATAGGACACGTGTTAATTACTTTTATGCCGACGATTCATTAGTTTATGTTTCTGTTTTTAATAGTTTATATCAATGTTAAAAAATTGTTAGTCTGTACACTCAAATTCACATGTATACCTTAATAACGTGAAACGTGAAATTTATTAGAGATTTAAGCATCCATATAATTACAATATTCATAGGATTTTTGGCCTACGAATAATTTATATTCAAAGGTTTTATCCATGGAATATCTAATAAATAAAAACACGATATTTTTGTCACCAAAAAAAAAACACGATATTTTACTTTCTCAGGGCGATTTCGGTGGGGATAAAATAGGGCATCACAACACGATGCTATTTAAATTGAAATTGAAAAGTTCCCTTAACGCGTTAGCAAAGAAAGAAGGGAGCTGTGAGGCGGCGGACTCCGAATTTTCTCGATCGCGTTCATCTTGAGATTCTTGACGCTGCTGTGCTTCGTCCTTTCGTTCTTCTTCGATTTCTGTGCCGCCGGTAAGGCTACTCGATACCTGTGAAAATTATCGAGGTGCAGCGGCCGTCTAGGGTTTTGCTCGTGACCTGATTGATTGCTGTTCTCCGTTTTTCTTTGTTTTCTTTTTTGATACTTTGATCATTTCTCAAAACTGCTACGAGCCTGCCTCAATTGTGTGTGTATTCTGCTGATTCGTAGAAAGCGTTACGGCTTTTTGCTAGCAATTCAGTTTCCGAGGCTATTTTTTGAATCTCAGTTTTTGAGTCTTCTGGTGTTTGTTAGGGTTTGTATTAATTGAAACAACAAAAGATAATTCTTTTTGGGGCTCTAGGGTTGAATATTTGGGATTTGGGCTTGGGGCTCGAATAGATCTTTTCCTTAAAAACTGGTTACTGATTAAGGGGACTTGTATTTGTCAATCACATGGCAGCAAGGCGGGACAATGTTCTGAGGAAAAGAGAGTCTTACAAATATAGTTCCATTAAGGAATTTGATAATTATATTAACGGTTCTTCTGGCGCGGCAGTGCATCGATCTAGTAGCCGCCACCACGTCACACATAAGAACGGTCGAAGATCTTCCGATCGTGATGATTCAGGTCCTGGACGAACTGAGTCTTATGGTAAAAAAGAACAGAGCGAGCAGGGTAAGTTGCATGGAGATAATGGGAAATATGCACCTGCATCTGTGTTTCAGGAAGATTGTGGTGAAGTTGTGGACGCTGAAACTCATGCACCACCGGGGAAGAGAAGAAAAATATCTCCAATTGTCTGGAACTTAGCAGAAAAGGAGGTAAAAATATCTGATAACAGGACAGCACAAGCGACTGCTTTGTCTCCCTTTTGTCCATCCCGACAAAGCTCTCATGGGATCACTGGTCTATTTTATGGCGGAGCTGTTAATTCCGAATCTCCTGCTGATTCCTCTAGTGCATTACCTCAAGGACGTTCAGACAATGAGGGTGAATATGTTGATCAGTCTGATAAGAAACACGTGCAAGGTTGGAATATCACAATGTCAAGATGGTTGTCGGATGATTATTCCCCACCGAATGCATCTGATGATGATTACATGGATGGAAAAGAGACGTCAAGCCCAGAAAGTGGTGAGTTCATATGTGAAAGTTCTGAAGGCAAAAAATCCATATCATCAAGAAATAGTGCAGGAGTTGATTGTTGCTGCACATCAAGTAATAAAGAAGTTAATAGTTCCGAAAAGGAATTACTTGTGGATACTATGGATGATGATGAGGAAGATAGTGAAACTTCTAATGTTACTCACCCTTCATCAGATCCTGAAGACGGGGGCAGTTTAATAGTGGTGCCGAGAAACATAAACAGCATCCAGAGCTGCAGAAGTGTTTTAGAATTTGAAATGATCAAGAAAATAAACGAAGGAACTTATGGTATTGTCTACAAAGCTAAGGATAAGAAAACCGGGGAAATTGTAGCATTAAAGAAGGTGAAGATGAATATGGATAGAGATGGCTTTCCATTGTCCTCTTTGAGGGAAATAAATATTCTCTCATCTTTTAATCATCCTTCTATTGTGGAAGTTAAAGAAGTTGTTGTGGATGATTTTGATGGTGTTTTTATGGTAATGGAGTATATGGAGTATGACCTTAAAGGGCTGATACAGAAGATGAAGCGACCATTTAGTATAGGTGAAGTAAAATCCTTGATGATGAAACTTCTCAAGGGTGTGAAGTATCTCCATGACAATTGGGTTCTTCACAGAGACTTGAAGACATCAAATATTCTGTTAAATGAGGAGGGTGAGCTAAGAATATGTGACTTTGGTTTATCTCGCCATTATGGAAGCCCACTCAAGCCATATACTCCTCTTGTGGTTACTCTGTGGTACAGGTGAGCAGCATAGTATTAATATTTGGTCTTCATTTATGTTCATTGATGGATAAACTAGTGGTTAATGTATTATTCATTGATGTGTATTGGTTGACTGTGCAGGGCTCCTGAGCTTCTGCTAGGTGCTAAGGAATACTCAACAGCGATTGATATGTGGTCAATTGGTTGCATAATGGCTGAATTAGTTGCCAAGTCGCCTCTATTCCAGGGAAAATCTGAAATTGAGCAGCTTAATAACGTAAATGAGCAATCCAATTCTTGTTGTATTTCATCAGTTATATTTGTGAGTACCCTGATATACTAATGAATATTTGATTTTCAACATCTGCAGATTTTCCAAACCTTGGGCACACCTAATGAAAAGATTTGGCCAGGAGTATCCAAATTATCTGGATTTAAGCCCAATTTTGTGAAGCAGCCGTGAGTTCTTATTTCCCCTTTCAAAACAGTTTTGAATTGGACTTCTGTCTGCTCCTTTATTTTCCTTTCTGTCGACCTTGCTAAGGTTAACCTTATTTCATTTTGTGAAATATGATCGGTGGAATCATCTCTGTTTTTTTCCCCCAATATCCTGTTATTACTCTTTAGTATTTTTAAACTAACCCCTTTAAGTATTTCAGGCACAATCTGTTGCGGAAGAAGTTTCCAGCTGCATCCTTCATTGGGTCACCTGTTCTTTCTGAATTGGGATTTGACTTGTTGAGCAAGCTTCTGACTTATGACCCTGAAAAGGTGAACGATAGATGGTTATGTGGTGGTTTTTTATTCGAACTGAACTTTAATGCTAATGTCGTTTTTTTTATTTTTTGGGGTCCTTTTACAGAGGATATCTGCAGAAGCTGCTCTTCTTCATGACTGGTTCCGTGAAGCCCCTCTTCCCAAATCTGACTTCAATATCACATTACCTTCACAGCATTGCTAGGATTGTCGGACATCTTCAGGACAGGTTCCACGAAGCCCTTCTTCCAAAATCTGACTTCAATATCACATTACCTTCCCAGCGGTGCTAGGATTGTAGGACAGGTGCATCTGCTGGCTGGATGTGAGGCATCTTGAGGAACAGTGCTATTTTTTTCCTCTCATAATTGTTTGTCTCACCAATTTTTATCGCTACACGTTTAAAGATTAATGTGATTGCAAAGCACAGGGCAATGGTTTCTACTAGACTTTTGGTGGGCGTAATTAGAAGCAATGAATCGATGTTTAGATTCCTGAGGTGTGACATTATACTTCTTATTTTTTTTTTTTTAACGTTCTATCCAAACTCTGCGTTCTCTCTCCTGATACATTGTCTTTGCTAAAAGATGTACATATATTTCAGGATTTTCTGTATCAAATGATGAAATTCTTGAATGGTGATGTCCATATTCCCTTTCCTCCTCCTTCCTTATCGGTTGACTATCAATGATATGTAAATGATCTGAGAATTTAGTGGTTCTTGTTATTACTATTTTGCCCCATCAAGAGTAATATTATTTTTTATCCTTTGCATTTTTATTATAATTACAACAAATGGTTGTTACTTTTTGCGATGTTACTAATAGAAGACACTCCAGGGCTCAGTTAACTGTGAACTTCTGTAGTTTTCTTTTTTTAAACTGTATTATGCATTGTTGATCGTGGATTTAGCTTATGTTTTGAAGTATCATGATGGAGAAGATGGGTAATGTCATAAATGATGATGATGGAGAAGATTGGTAATGTCATAAATGATGATGATGGAGAAGATTGGTAATGTCATAAAGGGCAGAGCAATATTATGTAACTCATGCGCACGAGGTAAATTACAACATCTCCCTGACCCTGTTTATGTAATCTTCTGCGGAGGCAACGGTGTTCACAAAGCACATCCCTTTTTTTTCCCCCCTCGAAAATCTATTTCAGCTTAATGACATCAAGTATAATGGTTGACTGCTGTTGTAGTCAGTAAACTAATGTCTGGATGGTGCTTCCGGACTTTTTGGTTACTGAGGTATGCGGTCTCTTCTCCAACAGGGTTGTTACTTCGAAGTATCTTCTCAGTTAGTAGCATAACTAATTTGATCCTTTGTTGTGAAGGTCCGTTGATAATTTATTTGTGTCGGAGTAATATCTTGTTGAGGAGAAGCGCCTGTTGGGCCTTCCTCATCATAAATAATAACGCCCCCGTTCGCATGCTCAAATTACATGTTCTTATTTCTATGTATTATTATTATGCATGCACAAATACCAGAAGTGATTTACTAAATGACTTTGGCTGTCTTAATTTTACCGTTCCTTCTCATAATATTTGCTTAGAGGAACATTGAGGACAAGGGGGCAGTTTGCTCGCAGGGTTATATAGCGCATTGGTATTTTACATGGTCGTATGTTTGTCTTTTAATGTTTGTTTATGTTAAAAGATTGACTTAAAGGTGTGCGTTGGTTTAATGACCAAGACACCGATGTTGCATATAATTATTTCTGTTCTGGTGATAATTGGCCTGTTACAGGCAAGAGTTACTTTGTGGGCGGTTTTGCTGAATTGGCGTTTTGATGCTCTTCTCTCACCCTTGTAAACACATTTAAATTACTTGGAAAATCATCTGACCGAGTAGCAAGATTGTTTTCAAAGCAAGCTGATCCATTGTTAACAGTTGCTGCTGCGATAGTTGCATGGCAATTTTTTGTATTTGATGCCGGAACAGCAAGTTTTGGTGCTGCAGGATTTGTATCAAATGGTTACCAGTCTCCTTGTTGCTAGGGGTGATGACTGTCATTAGGTACATTCAGCCTTCATGACGGGCACAAAATTTCACTTCTTCAAAGTTTCCTCATGGATCCTTGTTAATAAGGCTAATATTCAGTTATCTGATCTAAGTAGTCTTAGAGTTTATTTTTATTGTTTAGTCATTTAAGTTTGCTTTAAATTGGCTAAGTGGGACAGTGTAGTGAAATTTTGTACGGCTCTAATCTAGAATTATGTATTGGAAGTATCATACAACAATCAAATACGCAGTTTAAGTTCATTGTTGGAAAATTCATTTATATTCGCTAGTCGTCAACAACTGTTGCACATGAAAATATGAATACAAAACAAGCGGAAGTAAATTTTTAAAAGGCGTACGGAAGCTTCAAAGTTTTGTTATTTTACTTCCAAACTTTAATACAGACATCTTAGATCTCTGGTTCTTGAATTTTTGAGCATGCAAAATCTCCTGCTTACAACGAAAAATGGCAATTCTTGTGGCATTTGTAAGATGACAAAAAGGGGACATCATATACGAGTTGCGATGAACAAAACTTCGCCCTGGCATCTTCAATTCACCTTATTTCGTAGATATAACTCATCAAATACTTCGACATGAGCCCGCATGCAAGTTTTGTTTTCGGCGAAAAATCAGCAACGTTAAAAGTCAGGCGAAACCCGCGTCTTCACATATTTAATTAAAATTACAAATTAGCAACAATGATTGTTTTCAATGGGCCAAAAACAAATGCATTCCGCACTGATTTAGAAAGCACTATGAAGACAGCACTTTCTCGACCTCAGTTGTAACCTCTTTGGGAGGCTTCTCTGCATGAAGGTCAGCAACAAGACCTTTCTTTGAATAATAATCAATAACCTGCACGTCGCATGCCAAAATCAATTGTTAATAACAACCCTGACGGCAAGAACAAGCAATTTCTCATGTGCAATTCCTACCACTTATTACCAAATTCCTTGTCAATGGACAACGATCTCTATTAAAAGCTAATAGTTTAACTAAATCTTTAGGCAAAGACGGATGAAAATCATACTGGTTCCGTTTGTCTGTGAAATGCTTCCAGTCTAGATTTCAAGACAGCTGCTGTGTCATCCTTGCGCTGAATCAGGGGTTCCCCAGTAACCTAAGCAAACCAACAAATTAGACAATTTGTATCGTGATATGCAATGCATTAATACTTCCTTGAGACAACAGCAATTCACATTAAGAGGAATGAATATAGCCTGCAACTCAAACAAGAAATGCCGCAAAACTACCTTGATTTGTTAGACGAATTTAAAAATAAACATGAGTTTTCTTTCATACTTAGATGCTAAGATTGTACCTCAGGTGATAATAAAATATTGGGAACAATTCATATTAATAACTTCATATTTTTAAAAAATTAGAATTTCATGGATATCATATGCATGGATACACGCATAAATATATACGAGTACATCTATAGATTAGACTTACATCATCAACTCCTGGAACCTTCGGCGGGGCAAATTTTGTATGGTAGGTTCTCCCACTGGATGGGTGTAACCAACGGCCGGTAATCCTTTCTTCAAGGATAGCATCATCAATTGCAAAATTGAGTACCTTGTCGAGTTTTACCCCCTTCCTTTCCAGCATCTCATCAAGCTGCAAGTAAACAAAGGACATTTGAATGTCAAATTTCTCGAGGCAAGTAAACATGCACATATTCTTCTCTTTTGCAGCATCTCTTCAAACTGCAAGCAATATGAGCAAAGAATGTTTGAATATCATATTGCTGACGCAACTACAGAGCACAAATATTTGACCAACAACCTATCACTCGATATCAATGAGTTGCCAAGATGTCATCAACCGTAATACCTTTTGTGCTTGGACCACAGTTCTAGGGAAACCATCGAGAATGAAACCTTTCTGACATGATGGTTTCTTCATTGCCTCATCTATAATTCCAACAACCAAGTCGTCCGAAACAAGTTCTCCCTGAAAAGCAAGTACATAAAACCATATCAATAATCAATAACCGACTTAAAAGTGCACATAGAAATAATACAGTTAACTCTGAGGGAACACATTACAAAAAGTGAACCTTACCTTGTCCATCGCTTCTTTAGCCTTGATGCCAAGAGGTGTTTTAGCTGCTACAGCAGCTCTTAACATGTCACCAGTAGCCAAGTGGCACAGGCAATACTCATCCTTTATGATTGGTGATTGGGTGCCTTTTCCCGATCCAGGTGGACCTGCATCAACATGCTCTCAAGCTCAGCACTACCTATGCAGCATAGCAGTGTTATTTATTATTTGTGCCCATGATCAAGTACATCCAATAATGAATAATTTTTCAGCCAATCTAACTAATAATTTATGACACGCTTAATGCCGATAAAGTCATAACTTATCAGAGCTGATTCAAAGCAGCAAATGGAAAATCGTAAAAGCTCATACTCCTGTTTCCTCATCCTTGTATTTATTTATTTGAATGCGATCAAACCCTGACAGGGGGGTATTCAATTGTACCCATAACTAAAATCATAAGCAAGTATTAAATATGATAGAAAAAAGAGAAAAGAAACAGAAGTAACTTCATGTGGTCACGAACAAATCCATAACCCAAATGCTCTCATCATATGTTAATAAAACTTTATCACATGTTAAAGGAATAACCATAATATTAATCTAATATAAGCAACAAATATCAAATTAAAATATCAAATTAAAATATTAGTATAACTGTATGAGGACCTTGGAAAAGACTTTCTTAAGAACTACACTGCACTAGATGCGGGAGCAGTCACTCTAAAATCTTGCATACCAAGTCTCATGTTATATAGTGATCTGCATGTTCAATTAAGCAAAGTAATTTAATCCTTGACAGTCTCTATTTCGCAAATAGAAAAAGAATCATCATAAAAAGGGAAATTCCAACTCAAGCAACTTCCCTTCGAGGACAGGAACAACTGTAGTACACTTCTTATACTAACTTTAGGGACATGCGGCAGTTTAACTGCCTATATTGAAGAAACAGGCACCCCAACATTTATATTTTGCAGATCAAAAGGCAAGAATAACTTGATAACTAAAAGAAGTGGCCAGTACGGAGATGAAACTTTTTAGCAGAAACCGTAAAAATGCATCAGAACAATAAAATCATTAATTTCAACTTAGAGCTCAATTCCAAGCTATTCTCATTGTAAGTGTTTTAGAGTTGGAAAGAGGAAACGGCAGCAGAACTTGATTAATCCAAATATAAACGACAAAATCACTACATATCGTGTATTTCTAGGAACATAGCTCATGCTATGCACCTCTTTCGACTAGGAGAAAGCCATCAAATCAGGACGCATTTTGAATATAGAATAAACTGTTATAAAAAATTGGAAACAAGTTTTGAACTATTAACTTTTATTTAACTTGGAATCGAAGGGTTTTTGTTTGAGTAAAAGCAGGACAGAATATATGCATTGCATTTTTTACAAGAGACAAGCTAGAACAGATTTGGAGGTTAGACTGGGAATCAAGTCATTCCAAAAGTGAAAAAGTTTAGATATTTGGGATTAATTATACAAAAAGATGGTGAAATTGATGGTGATATTAGTCATAAAATTCAAGTTGGGTGGTTTAAATGAAGAAAAATGACAGGACTTATCTTTGATCGAGAAGTACCTAATAAGGTCAAAGAAAAGTTTTATCACACTGCTTTAAGACCAACAATGTTATATGGTAGTAAGCATTGGGCTTTAAAAGGACAACATGAACATAAAGTGGCGGTAGCCAAGAGGAGAACGTCATACAAGAATATATAAGATTTATAATGATCATTCACGCAGAAAAGTTGAAGTGGTTGCTATTGATGAGAAAATGGTAAAAAATCATTTAAGGTGGTTTGGTCAAGTACAAAGAAGGCCTTTGGATGTACCGGTGAGAAGAATTGATCAAACAGTATAAAGTCCTCTGACAAGGAGTAGAGAAAGGTCAAAGAGAACATTTAATAAAGTCACTGAACAAGATCTTTCAATTAACAATATATCCAAAGATTTGGCTCCAAATAGAGTTTAATGATGTTGTACGATCCATGTGACCAATCCCATCTAGTGGGATAAGGCCTTATTGTTGTTGTTGTTGCAACTTTTATCTAACTACACAATCACATACTTTCGAGATATATATATTTCTAACAACCAGAGTCTGACACCAAGTGATTACAAATAATTTGAAGTATCATGTAGTTCTGTGCCATATGTAATACAAGTAACAAGGACACTGCTCCCATTTTTTTTAAAGCGTGCTTCAATGGCATCTCTACATACTATGCACATACCCCAAGTACTCACCATCAACAGAGAAATGACCTCTACAGAAGAAGCATATTTGTTATGACAGCTACCAAGCAACTGACAAGAATGACAGAAAAACTACTAGATAAGACGTAACATTGGGCAAATGACCTTGAAAAATAAGACCTAAACATACAAACACCTGAACTTAAGACTTTGAAACTCTCACTTATCCTTAAACACTGAAGATAGAAAATAAAAATCCTCAAGACACCTTAGAAACAAAACCCATGAACCAGCGAAAGAAAACGTTCGAATTTCTTAATGTCCATATCAGGTAAGAATACCATACCCAGGTATCTCCAGCCCTAATGGTCACTAGTTTCTGCCATGATTTATTATCAGCCACTGGTATATACTTGAAATTTCTAAGTGCCCTCCCTATTATAATGATAGCAGCAGTTGCTGCAGAAAAAAGAACCTTAAACCCAGAACAGGCTGAACATTTTTTTTTTTTTAATTATAATAATCCTAAGACAGATAATCCTTGTGGAATCCCCAGACTGAACCCTAGTAACCGCACCAACATCACAGAAACATCTAACTCTCTATAACATTCAAACGGTTGTTTCGGATCTGTCGGACTACCAACTAAAAGAGGACAAACAAAGAAAGCTGAAGAGAAAGAAATACCAATGAGGATGAGACGCTTGTCGGGTTTGGAGGCGCACTTCATGCGACGGAGAAGCTCAGTCATGAGATCCACAGAAGGAACATCTTCCAAGTTAGCGTTCGCCATTTTGCTTCCTCTGCGTGCTATCCTCCTTGGCCTCGCGGTTTTTTATGCTCTGCAGCAGAATCTCGCTTACTTTCGAAAGAGAGAAAGAACAAAAATATATATTCTGATCCAATTTCAGCGAAGATTTCCAGATTCTTACCTTCTCGGCTTGGGGCTTCGGATTCGCAACACAAACAGACTCTTTCACCCTTGCGGTTAGGCGAGGGTTAAAATGGCAGTT